ATGCGTAGTTCCATGGCCGCCCCTACGGGCTCGGGCTGCGCATGGGGGACCCCGAATTTGGGGAGGGGGTCCTAAATTTGGGGGTGCTCCTTAATTTGTGGGGTGCTCCTTAATTTGTGGGGTTTCCTCAGCTTGGGGGGACTCGATTTACTGTTGGGGGGGAACTGCAGTTTCGGGAGCCCTCAATTTGGCGGGGGGTTTAATTTGGAGGGTCCTTTCTTTTGGGGGTGTCCTTTATTTGGGGTGGTCCCAGTTTAGGGGGGCACTTTAATTGGGGGTGGTCCTCAGTTTTTATGGATTGTCATTTTGGGGGATTTCCTCCACTTGGAGGGGACCCTCAGTTTATGGGGGACAGTTTTGTATCCGGGGACAGAGCTCGGTTTGGGGGTTTCCTCTGTTTGGGGTATTCATCAATTTGCGGGGGGGTTCCTCAATTTTAGGGGGATTTTCCTCAATTTGGGGGGGGAGTTTCCTCAGTTTGGGGGGGATTTTCCTCAATTTAGGGCAGGATCCTCAATTTGGGGAGGTTCTTAATTTTGGGGGTCCTATTTGAGTGATGCAATTTAATGGGGTTCTCTTTTTTTGGGGGGAAATCCCAAATTTTAAGGATCCTTAATTTTAAGGGCATCCTCAATTTGGGGATATTCCTTAATATCGAGGAGCTCCTCGATTTTTGGGGTTCTCTGGGGTGCATCCTTAATTTAGGGAGGTCCTTAATTTAATTAGGGGGGATTTAATTGGATCCTCCCCCCATCCATTTTCCATCCCATCCCATTCCCAAACCACTTTTGATGGGAAGTTCTAACGATCCCAAAATTAGGCTGCATTCCCACTTTCTTTCTCCCACAATTTCTCCCCTTTCCACACCGAAAAACGGAATTTTTCCTCTCGTCCGCGTAGGGAAAATCCCGAGGTTTTCCAGAAGATTTGGGCTTTTCCTCATGTTTCAGGGTGGGGTTTTTTTAAATCCTCGCTCTTGTGCCATCTCCGCTTCCTGGTGGGAAGCGGGAATTTCCTGGCTGAGGGATGGGATAACGCCCCACGGATCAGAATCCTCGGGAATGACGGAGAAGCTCCCAAAAATTCTGCCTGTGGATGGGAGCAAAGCCCTGCTGTGGGAATGGTTTGGAGAAGCTGGAGGGGTGGACGGGGATCCGTGGGGATTTGGGGTGGCCAAGCAGCAGGTACGGGATTCCAGGAAGGAAAGATTCCAGGAGGATCCCAGGAATGATGGAAGGATTCCGGGAAGGAAGGGAAGATTCCAGGAAGGATCCCAGGAATGATGGAAGGATTCCGGGAAGGAAGGAAGGAAGGATTGATTCCAGAAAGGAAGAATTCTGGGAAGGAAGGGAAGATTCCAGGAAGGAAAGATTCAGAGAAGGAAGGAAGGAAGGATTCTGGGAAGGAAAGAATCCAGGAAGGAAGAAAAGATTGATTCCAGGAAGGAAAGAAAGATTCCAGGAAGGAAAGAAAGATTCCAGGAAGGGAGAAAGGATTGATTCCAGAAAGGAAGAATTCTGGGAAGGAAGGGAAGATCCCAGGAAGGAAAGATTCAGAGAAGGAAGGAAGGAAGGATTCTGGGAAGGAAAGAATCCAGGAAGAAAGAAAAGATTGATTCCAGGAAGGAAAGAAAGATTCCAGGAAGGAAGAAGGGAAGATTCCAGGAAGGGAGAAAGGATTGATTCCAGAAAGAATTCCAGGAAGGAAGGAAGGATTCCAGGAAGAATTCCAGGAAAGAAAGGAAGGCAGAAATCCAGGAAGGAAGGAAGAATTCCAGGAAGGAAGGAAGGATTCCAGGAAGGAAGGAATGAAGAAATCCAGAAAGGATTCCAGGAAGAATTCCAGGAAAGCAGAATTCCAGGAATTCCAGCATTCCAGGAAGGAAAAACCACAGCTCTGCTTCAGCCCCCACCAGGAATTCTCATCCCGTGGGGACACGCGCAGCTCGGGGTGGGACAGGCGGTGGCACCTGGCGGGAGGATCCAAGGAATGTCCGTGTGGAGGTTCCTGGAGTCGGAATGTGGCCTGGATGATGATGAGGTGGAAAAAGGGATGGATGGTGATCCACAGGCAGCAGCAGCAGCTCCTCAAGCTCTTGGATCGTGTCTGGCAGCAGGATTGGGAGAGGAGAGCCAGGGAGTGAATCCCCGGAGAAGTGGGAAGGAAAATCCCAAAGGGAATCCGGGAAAAGCCCAGGAGAATCCCCATCCCTGCAGGGATTTCGGGGTGAGCTGGAGGTGGCACTTGGGGACACGGCTGTGCTGGGGGACAGTTCCTCAACGAGGCCTTTCCCGACCTCAACCATCCCAGGATTCCATGGAAAAATCCCAGATGGGACTCAGAGCAATCCCTCACCCTCGGCATCATCCCAGGAAAACCTGGAGAGGCGGCCAGGAATGGGAGGCTGGAGAAGGACCTGGAACAAATCCAGAGGAATCCATGGAATTGCTCTGAGGGCTGGAGCCCCCATGCTCTGGAGCCAGGCTGGGAGAGCTGGGAATGTTCTCCTGGAGAAGGGAAGGATCCAGGGAGAGCTTCCAGCACATTCCAGGGCCTGGAGGGGCTCTGGGAGAGCTGGAATTTGGGAAAGGCCTGGAGGGGCAGGAGCCAGGGAATGGTTCCCGATTGGAAAAGGGGAATTGGGGTGGGATTTTGGAAGGAACTCCTGGCTGGAATGGAATTCCCAGAGAAGCTGTGCCTGCCCCAAATCCCTGGAATGTCCAAGGGTGGGTCAGACAGGGCTTGGAGCATCCTGGGATGGTGGAAATGCTGGAAGTGGATGATCCTTCCAACCCAAACCATTCCACGATTCCAGGATTCCCTGCAGCTGCCACACCTGGAATTTTTCTGCTCCAGTGCCAAGGCTGGAAAAGGTGGAGGAACAACAATTCCAAAGCTTTGTTCTCCTGGGCTCTGCTCCAGGCTGCTTCCCTGGGCTCCCTGTGAGCCATTCCCATGGGAATGCGGTGGGATTCATTCCCAGGTTTGTTAAATCCCTGCAGCTGGAAAAAAAAACAACCGGGAAGGGCTTTTCCCTGTGTGAATTTTTCAGGAAGAAAACTGAATCCACGTTTTTTTCCTGACCCTCAAAATTTATGCACGTTCCCCTTTGTGTTTTGAAGGTGTTTTCATGTTTTTAAGGAGTTTCCCGTTTGTGTTTCCATGGATATTTGGAAACATTCCCGCTGATTTTTCACAGGCTTGTCGGCAATCCCGGTTTTTATGGATAAAAAATTTTAGGGATATTGGGAGGGCACAGCTATTCCATAAAATTAGAAATAAATAGGAATGAAGCAGCCCCTTGCATTTCCAGCTGTAGGAAAGAGCTGGATTTATGGAAGGATCCATAAATTAATTTTATTTAAATTTATTTATTTATTTGAATGTATTTATTTAAATTTATTTTAGAGGAATAAAACAATTTCCTCGCCAACCCAGGGGCTGATCCAGCTCCCACCACAATTCCTGGGAGTTTGAGTGAGAATTTCTCATTTAACTCATTCCCTTCCTGATTTTTAACCTCTGCCATCCCAAAAAAGCAGAATTCCATCAGTTTTTAAGTCCTGGCATTACAAACAGACGAGGACACATCATTTTTTTTATGGAATTTATCATTCCAGCTGCACAATCCCAACAGCTGCAGCTGCTCTTACCTTGTTGCGAATTCCAGGTTTCCAAGAGCAGATTTTTTGGGATTTAATGTTCATGGGTTCTGGGAATTGCCCAGCATTCCAATCTGGAATAAAACAGCTCCTTATTTCAGTCTGATCCAAAGATTCCCGATGTCCTCCCAGGGCTGAGGTCCCACCACAGATTCCCGCAGATTTTGGGATCAGCTCTGGGATACAAAAAGGATTGAAAAGGTTGGTGCAGCTTCAAGAGCCTCAAAATTCCAGGAATTTCAGGAATTAGGGGAGAGCAGGTCCATGAAGAGCTGGAAAATCAATGATCCAGGTGGATTTTTTGTGGAAATTCCCAGGAAAAGCTGTGAGGATCCCGAGAAGTGGAGATTTCCTTGGATGGTTCTGTTTCATGGAGCTGCATGGGAAGAGGAGAAGCTCAGCCCTGGAATCTGAAAATGAAAGAAGAAAATAAATTTATATTAAAATTTATAAATAAATTTATATTAAAATGTAAAAATAAATTTATATTAAAATTTATAATAAATAAATAAAAATATAAATTTATTTATATATTATAATATACAATCAATTCTATAAAATATGTAATTATTCTATAATTATAAAAAAATAAATTACTAATAACTTACTAAATATTTAGTAAATATATATTAAATAAATATAAATTAAATAATAATTACAAATAATTTACTTTAAAAGTAAATGTACTAATTAATAATTAATTAGTAAATAATTAATTCTAGAAAATACATAATTATATATTATATAAAATATATAATTATATATAATCATTATTATACATAAACAAAATTATTTTAAAATAGTTTATATAATTTATATCATGTCTATATCATTATATAATGTCTATTTATCATTTATATAATTTATATAATTTATATAATTTATATAATTTATAATTTACTATAATTATTATCTATATTATATATTCTATATAATATTATACAGAATATTACATATAAATTATAAAAATTATTATAATTTGTACAATTCTTCTATTTTCTATTTTTTCTTCTATTTTCTTCTATTTTAATTATAAATTATTATACTGATTATAAATTACTATATATAATTTTATATATTTATTATAATATACAATAAATATAATATATAATCATACATATAATATAATATATAATAAATATAGTACAATATATAATAAAATATATATAATAGAATATCTATAATATAACATTATATATTATTTAATAAATAAAATATTATATAACATAAAATATAATATGATATATAATATGTAAAATATAATACATAATATAATATGTATTAATACAATATATAATATATTATAATATATATGCTATTTATATATATTATACATGTTTTATATATATAATATACTATATAATAAAAAATATATAACTTACTATAAATTCTACAATTTATCATTATAAATAATAAAATTATTTTTATCAGAGGCATGAATGTGATAAAAACATGGAATCATTGAGGTGGGAAAGGACCTAAAGATGATTTAATTCCAAACCAAGGGAACACCTCCCACTCTCCCAGGTTGCTCCAATCCGGCCTTCGACACTTCCAAGGATGGAACAGCCACAACTTTTTTGGAAAACCTGTCCCAAGGAGGAGCCCAGCCCCATTCCCTCCATGACCTTTGGAAATAATCCTATTTCAAACATTTCTCCTAAATCCACTTCCCAGTCCAGCTCGGCTCCTCCGCTCGATTCCGGGTAAAAATCCCAACATTTGAATCAGTATTTCCCTGAGGGAAGGGATAACCAACGTACCACGTGGAGAAGGAGCGGCTTTCCTCTTGCATTCCCTGGAAAACCCGGATGATCTCTGGCTTCCTGGCCAGCTGCCGTGCCAGCATTCCCGAGTTATCCGGAGCGTCGCGGAGCCCGGCTCGCAGCAGGACGCCGGCGGCCTCGGCGCGCTGCCCGGCGCCGGCCGCGTGCAGGGCTGGGGGGACACAACCAGCTGGGCTCATCCTGCTCTGGGATAAAATCCGAGATTCCCGTGGAAGGAAACAGGTGGAGGGGGAGGAAATGGTGGTTTTTTCCCGGTGTGGAATGGTGGAGCGGTTTGGGTTGGGATAAAGTTGTGGAATTAATTTTGGGATCATCGAGTGTGAGCTTCCATCCTGCTGCCACAGACAGGGAGCTTCCACTGTCCCAGAATTCCTTCCCAAATCCCACCCCAATTCCCTTTTTCCAATCTGGAGCCATTCCCTGGCTCCTGCCCCTCCAGGCCTTTCCCAAATTCCAGCTCTCCCGGAGCCCCTCCAGGCCCTGGAATGTGCTGGAAGCTCTCCCTGGATCCTTCCCTTCTCCAGGAGAACATTCCCAGCTCTCCCAGCCTGGCTCCAGAGCCTGACATTGGATCCATCTCCTCTCCAGGGAATTGATGGACCCAGGGCCTTCCCTTGCAATCTCAGGAAGCCACCAAGGCTCTCCCTTCCCTTTCCCTCTCTTTCCCATCCCCATTTCCCAGGAAAATCCCTCAGCATGGATTCAGAGCCTCCCAAATCCCAGAATCCCGGAATGCTTTGGGATGGGATCCAGGGACCTTCAATCCCATCCCATTCCAATCCCACCATCCCAGGCTGCTCCAACCCTTCCTTGGCCATTCCCGGGATCCAGGAGCAGCCATGGCTGCTCTGGGAATTCCAACCCAGCTCTTCCCCACCCTCACTGTTAAAAAAAAAATCTCCCTGTAATCCAGACGAGGGTTCCTGATCCCTCTGGATAATCCTGCTGTGGATGAGAAGCTTCCCAAGGACGCAGTGACCCAAACCCAGCCAAGGAGGAGCAACAGGAAAAAACATCCCAGGGCTGGATGAGCTCAGCAGAGCTCGGATTTAATCCCGGAGGAGGCGGAGGGCGAGGCAGCTCCGCTAAAACCTTCCACCAAACCCCAGGGCTGGGCAATTCCCCAAATGGTTGAAACCATTTGTCCGTTTTTTTCCCCAAATTTTTAATTTTTTTCGGGTTTTTTTTTGGGAGATGCTGATGCAAGAGCTTGCCTGAGCTTTTCCCGCTGGGAATGCCGACTCTCCGGCATCGCTATAGCAACTCTATTTCCGTGCCAGCTCCCTGGTATTATTTGCTCATCAGCCATTTCCAGGCTGATTTGCTGAGGAATTGAGTTTGGAGAGCTCGATCCATGTGTTTGTCCATCCAACCTGCTTCCAACAGGATCATTCCAGAGAAATTTCAGTGGGAGGAGGTGGCATTGGAGCTCCTCAGGTGAAAAATAAGCAGGGAATTCCCAATTTGTGTCTCCCAGGGAAAAGCTCCAGCAGAAATTCCGGTAAATTGAAAGCCAGGGAATGCAAAATGCCCAAAAAACCCTGGGATGGATCCATGGTGTTGCTCCCAGAGCAAATGTACCCATGGATTTGGCATCTCCCCTGCATGCAGAGGCTGGGATGCGCTCGTGGAAGCTCCAGGTGTCACATAAAGCTTGGAAAAACGGCTTGGAATTCTCACCAGAACGGCCCTTCCCATCCTTAGCCTGGATATCAGCACCGAGGGACAGCAGGGTCTGGATGGTTTGTCCATGTCCTTCCTGCAGAAGGTGGGATTTGGGATCAGCTCTGCACTCAGATCCATCCCCGACCTGGAATTGCTTTGTCCTGCTCAGGTCTGGGGGATCCAGAGGATCTTGGAGCAGATGGAAATCAAGGTCAGCTGAAGATCAGATCCATGAGGCAGGAATTGCTCCAGCTGCTGTGATCCCACAGGAATTGGCCAGAAAGGTCCCACCAGGCACCTTCCTAAAAATCCCAGAATGGTTTGGGTTGGAAAAAATCCTTAAAGATCATCAAATTCCAACAACAGGGACACCTTCCCTATCCCAGGCTGCTCCAAGCTGGCCTTGGACATTCCAGGGATTTGGGGCAGCCACAGCTGCTCTGGGAATTCCAGCCCAGCCAGGAATTCCTTCCTAAATCCCACCCCAATTCCCCTTTTCCAATCGGGAACCATTCCCTGTGTCCTGCCCCTCCAGGCCTTTCCCAAACTCCAGCTCTCCCAGAGCCCCTCCAGGCCCTGGAATGTGCTGGAAGCTCTCCCTGGATCCTTCCCTTCTCCAGGGGAACATTCCCAGCTCTCCCAGCCTGGCTCCAGCCCTGGAGCTCTCTCCAACTCTGAGTTTCAAACCCCTCCAGGATTCCCAGAGGATCTGGAGTTGATTTTTCCAGGGTTATTCCAACCCAAGGAGCAGAACCTGTTGCTGATCTGGGCCGTTGCTCATCTGCCTCCCTCAGCCACTGGAATTTCCCAAAGAATTCCTCCAGGAATTCCTCTTCTTCCCTGGGAGAAAACCCAGGGATCCACAGTGTCCTCCCTCCTTCCTCTGCCAGGAATTTCAAATTCCACAGGGGAAAACCCAGCCCAGCCCCCAGCTCCCTGCAGAGGCTTTTCCAGAAATAAATCCTTTCTCCCTAAATAACACGCCTGATTTTGGAATTCCATCCTCAGGGCCATGAATTAAGTCTTTGTCCTGAGGCCTGGGAATGGAAAGCTCTTATTTTTATCCCCCTTCCCACCCGCTCTTTTTTTCCCCCTATTCCCATAGGATTCCACAGCATCTTCCCTGCTCCCGAGGCTCCCATTTCCCTGAAAATCCAATTCCATGGCAAAGCCAGGAATTGCTGTAGCTGCCACAGCCCTGGCAGCAAATTAAAAAAAAATAATTTGATTTTCCTGTGTTTAGAAATGCAAAATAAGAAAAACAGGGAGATAAAACCACAAACAAATGCTGCTGTAAATACAAAGTGACACCGAGGAAGGGAGAGAATCCCATCCAATCATTCCCAAATCCCAGGATTTGCTGGATTTGCTCCAAGGCACATTATATTCCCCCCAGAGCTGTTCCACGTACCCTTGGCAACCAGAAGGGCTTTGGATGTGGATCCTGGGAGCAGGAGGCCGGGAAAACGGGAGAAAGGGCTCCTTTGTGGGAGCGGGCACGGCTGGATGGAGCCAGCATTCCCAGGGAACGGCATGGATGGTTTTGTAGGAGCAGGGCACTGGGATGGGGATTTATTCCCACCACAAAGCTCCAAGATCTGGATTTAACAGATCCCAGGAAGGATCCTGGCCAGCTGGGAAGTTTTGGGAACTGCTCTGCAATTCCCAGGTTTTGTAGGAGCAGGACATTGGGATGAGGTTTTATTCCCACCACAAGGTTCAGAGGGATGTTAAAATCTGGGTTTAACATTCCTGGATCTGAACAGGGACAGATCCCAGATGCCAGGAGGGATCCTGTTCAGCTGGGAAGTTTTGGGATCTGCTGTGCATTCCCAGGTTCTGTAGGAGCAGGGCACTGGGATGGGGATTTATTCCCACCACAAAGCTCAGAGATCTGGATTTAACAGATCCCAGATCCCAGGAGGGATCCTGGTCAGCTGGGAAGTTTTGGGATCTGCTCTGCATTCCCAGGTTTTGTAGGAGCAGGACACTGGGATGGAGATTTATTCCCACTACAAAGCTCAAAGGGATGTTAAAATCCAGGGCTTAATATTCCTGGATTGGAGCAGGGACAGATCCCAGATCCCAGGCATGATCCTGGCCAGCTGGGAAGTTTTGGGAACTGCTCTGCAATTCCCAGGTTTTGTAGGAGCAGGACACTGGGATGAGGTTTTATTCCCACCACAAGGTTCAGAGGGATGTTAAAATCTGGGTTTAACATTCCTGGATCTGAACAGGGACAGATCCCAGATGCCAGGAGGGATCCTGTTCAGCTGGGAAGTTTTGGGATCTGCTCTGCATTCCCAGGTTCTGTAGGAGCAGGGCACTGGGATGGGGATTTATTCCCACCACAAAGCTCAGAGATCTGGATTTAACAGATCCCAGATCCCAGGAGGGATCCTGGTCAGCTGGGAAGTTTTGGGGTCTGCTCTGCATTCCCAGGGAATGCTGCAGGACTCACAGCTCTGCTTCCCACATGGGCTGGGAGGAGGAGAAAGCTCCAGTGTCTCTGGAATTCAAAACAACTCCAGTGTGAAGGACACAGATAAAATCCCAGGAGCTTCCCCTGCCTTCCCAGCTCTTCTTTGCCACATCTCCTGTCCCTCCCCAGCTGGCAGCTGGAATTCATGAAACAAACATGGAATTCCTGGGGTGGGAAGGACCTCAGAACCCACCCAGTGCCACCCCTGCCATGGCAGGGACACCTCACACCATCCCAGGCTGCTCCAAGCTCCATCCAAGCTGGTCTTGGACATTCCAGGGATCCGGAGCAGCCACAGCTGCTCTGGGAATTCCAGCCCAGCCAGGAATTCCTTCCCCAGATCCCATCCATCCCTGCCCTCTGGCAGTGGAAGCCATTCCCTGTGTCCTGTCCCTCCAGGCCTTGTCCCCAGTCCCTCTCCAGCTCTCCTGGAGCCCCTCCAGGCCCTGGAATGTGCTGGAAGCTCTCCCTGGATCCTTCCCTTCTCCAGGAGAACATTCCCACCTCTCCCAGCCTGGCTCCAGAGCTGGAGCAGCTCCGTGCACTCCTCTGGACTCTCCAGATCCTCCTGATGTTGCTCCCAGGGCTGGGATCTGTTGCTCCAGGTGGGATCTCCCCTCTCCCTGCTTCCCAGAAAACAGGGAACTGTCAGGAGGAGCAGAGGATGAGCCAGGAATACAAACCCATGGTGGCAAACACCTGATCCAGCCTGGCTGAGGTGGCACAAGCTTTTCCAGGGGAATTTGGGAGCAGGGACAAACCTTGGCAGCGTAGTGCAGGGCTGGCAGCCGCAGGGACGTCGCTCTCCCGTTGACATCCACGCCCAGCTCGGACACCAGGAACTGGATGGATCCATCCTGGGCTGTCACAGCTGCTCTGTGCAGGGCCTGAGCACCCAGGGCATCCACAGCTGTGGGACAGGCCTGGAATTCAGGAATATCATGGGAATAACACACAAAGGGGGCTCATCCCAAATGGTATCACCACCCTCTGGAGGTACCGGTGCCATCTGGAAACTTCCAGGAGGTTTCAAAGGTCTCCCACCCTCAGTGCCTGGAATGTGAGGGGAAAACCACGGCAAACTTCCCAACAGCTCTGGGAGATCAGCCATGAGGGAGCCCCAGCCTGCTGGGATCATCCAGGAATCAATCAATCAATCATCAATAAATTATTGATTGCAGTGCTCTGGTTCCTCCAGCACGCTCCAATGGCATTCCCTGGAGGAAATCAGGGATTTTTGGGAGAGACCACAGGAGCTGCCAGGAGAGAGGGAGGAGCTCTGGATAACTCATGGATGGACATTTCCACCTTCTCCACGGCCTCTGGCATTCCAAGAGCTCTGACACAGCTGCCCCTGGAGCACTGGGAATGTCCTGACCCCTCCTGCTGTCACCATCCCACAAAAGCTGTGGCTGTCCCTGGATCCCTGGAAGTGCCCAAGGCCAGGCTGGATGGAGCCTGGAGCCACCTGGGATGGTGGGAGCTGTCCCTGCCCATGGAAGGAAGGGATGGAATGAGATGATTTTTAAGCTCTTTCCAACCCAAACCATTCCATGATTCCCACTGACCTCACTCAACCAAACCCTTCCCATCTCCAGGAGGGAATTACATTTTTTTTTTTTTTTTAACCACAATTCCTTTATTTCCAATTTGGGAATTGGCTTCCCCAGTGAGGATGAGGACGTGGATCCTGGGAAAGGCGGTGAGGAATTGTGGCACTCACCTGGTGTTTTTCCAGGAGCAGCCGGGCGATGCCGACGTGTCCGTTCTGGAGAGCGTCCATGAAGGGAGTGACCCCACAGCTGTCCCTGCTGTCAGGCTGGTACTGGCACCTGGGAATCCAGGAGGAAAAACCAGGATACAGCTGCTGGAAGCTCCAAAATCCTCATGGAAGGAGACTCTCAGCAGCTGGGATTGGAAATGGAATATATAAAGCTCATCCACATCCCATGGCTTGGTGGGTTTTAAGGTATGGGGAATGGGTTGGTTTTTTTTTGGGATCAGGGATCTGGTTCAGCTCGTTTGTAATTCTCTTTTTCCCTGAGCAGAGGGCCTGGAAGCAGGGAATAACCAGATCCTCATGGAATGATGTGCAAAATCAAGAGCCCACCTGTCTCATTCCAGTGAAAACGAGGGAAAACTGAATTAAAACTGAATTAAAGATCACAGAGTTCTTCATGCTGGGCTGGGATGAGCTGCAATTCCCAGGAAAAGCTGCTCTGGGAATTTAGGAAGGGAACAGAGCTGCTTTAAAGCCACTTCCCAGAAATTTCCCCAGGAGCCAGAAAAGGATAAACCCAGCTTAGGGAAGCTGCCAGGAATCCTTTTGGGAATGAATCAGCAGGGAAAAGAAAGTTACATAACTGGGATTTGTGTCATAACCAAGAGGGAGCCCATCCCCAGGGAATCCTTGTCTCTTTCCCGGCTGGGAAAAACCTGGAAAAGCCAGCCTCGGGATGGAGGGGCAGGGCAGGAGCAGCACAAGCATCCTTTGTGTCCAAATGCTGGCAGGGAATGGGAGGAAAAGCTGGAAAAGCTGGAATGAGCCTGCTTACCGCTCCAGGAGCAGCTCCACGACCTGGGAACAGCCGTGCATCGCTGGGAAAAGATGGGAAAAAAACCAAGAAAAATATGGATTGATTGTGTTTTGGGGTTTTGTGTTCCTACAGCTCGGGGTGTTGATCCTTTTGGGATGAGGGAAGGAGCTCGGGATTCAAGGGGTTTTTAATCCCATCAGTTTTTGGGTGGGATTAAAATAAAAAAAAGGTTTCCTTTCCTCTGATCCCACCGGGAAATGGGAGGTAAAGCAGGGAAAAGGTGTGGAATGGGAACTGCCTGGATTGAATCTGCCACAGGATTCAGCTGGAACAAAAAGGGATTCTCCCAGTTATTTGTTCATTCCCGAGTTGGGATGTGGGAGAAGCCAGAGGAAGACAAAGGAAATGCTGGATAATATTCCCAGCCCTCCTCAGCCACTCCCAGCTCGTCTCAGAGGGAAAACAACAACAGAGGGGGAGGATTTGGACCTGAGGCACTGAAATATTCCTGGTTTTTCCAGGTTTTTTAAACATTTTCACTGGATCAAAGCTTTGATCCAGATTTTTGCTAATTTTTTTTTTTCTTCCCCCCTTGCAGGTTATTTTGCAAAACAAATGGAATATATTCAAGAGGAAAAAAAAAAAAACCAAAATATCAAAGCAAGGCTGGAGCTGCTCCATCAGGTGATGGAAAAAGGGATCCTGGGAAATGTGTGTTCCCAGGAACAGCTTCCAGCTGGAATCCCAGTGAGGAATTCCCAGATTTTGGCTCTTTGACCGTTCTGAGCTGATGGAAAACACAAATTATGGGGAAGAAAAATCCCTCCAAGCAGCACAATTCCATTTTTTATCAGGAAGAGAGGCATGGGAAAGCTGGGATCCACTTCCTCTAATTCCCAGCTTTCTTCCTTTGGGATTGAAGAGGCAACAAAGCTGAAGGAATCAATCCTTATTAATATAATAAATATAATAAAGTAAATAATATAAAAAAATAATATAAAAATAATTGCAGGAGGGAGAAAATGACCCCTCATAAATATAACAAATATAAATATAATAAATAATATAAAAATTAATATAATAGTTGCAGGAGGGAGAAAACGACCTCTCAAATGTAATAAAACAAACATAATATATATAAATAAATACAATAAATATAAAATAACAAATATAAAATAATAAATATAAAATAGTAAACATAAAATAATAAAAATAATACAAAAAATTAATATAAAAATAATTGCAGGAGGGAGAAAATGACCCCTCAAATATAATAAATATAAATATAGCAAATATAATAAATAATACAAAAATTAATATAAAAAATAATTGCAGGAGGGAGAAAACGACCTCTCAAATGTAATAAAATAAACATATACAAATAAATACAATAAATATAAAATAATAAATATAAAATAATGAAAATAATACAAAAAATTAATATAAAAATAATTACAGGAGGGAGAAAATGACCCCTCATAAATATAATAAATATAAATATAATATACAGAAATACATATAGAGAAATAAAATAAATAGAATAAAAATAATATTAAAAATTAATATCAAAATAATTTCAGGAGGAAGAAAACGACCCCTCAAATATAATAATATAATATATAAAAATATATATAAATATAAGAAATATAAGAAATATAATATTAAAAATTAATATCAAAATAATTGCAGGTGGGAGAAAATGACCCCTCGAATTTAATAAAATAAATATAATATATATAAAATAAATATAATAAATATAAAAATAATAAATATAAACATAGTAAGTATAAATATAGTAAATACAAATGTAATAAATATAAATATAATAAAAGTAATATTAAAAATTAATATCAAAATAATTGCAGGTGGGAGAAAACTACCCCTCATAAATATAATAAAATAAATATAATAAATATAATAAAAAATAATAAAAAAAATAATATAAGAAATAATTGAATAATAAAAAAAATAATATAAGAAATAATTGCAGGAGAGAGAAAACAACCCCTCAAATATAATAAAATAAATATAATACATATAAAATAAATATCCAAAAATATAAATGTAATAAATATAAATGTAATAAATACAAAAATATAAATATAATAAAAATAAATCTAATAATTTAGATTAATTTTAAATAAATATAATATTATTATATATTATATAAATATAATAAATAAATATAATTTATTTATTATCTATAAATAAATATATTAAAATAAATAAATAATAATTATTTATTATTGTAATAAATAATAAATATAATAAAGAATAATAAAAATTAATATCTAAATAATTGCAGGAGGGAGAAAATGACCCCTCATAAATATAATAAAATAAATATAATAAAAAAATATTTAGAAAATTAATATAAAAAATTATTGCAAGAGGGAGAAAACGACCCCTCAGCAATCCAGAAAGGCAGCTGGCCTGCTCAGGGGTTACAGCCACAGCTCTGGGATGGAAATCCATGGAAAATCCATGGAAAATCCATGGAAAATCCATGGAAAAGGCAGTTTGTCCTGACAGTGATTCCCCCCACAGCCCCTCCTGCCTCGGGAGCTGGGAATATCCACTGGGAAAAGCGTGGGGATACCAGGGAGGAGCAGTTTGGGATCAAACTGAACCAGGGGCAGTGAGGGGGGTTAATTCCCCAATTCCATCATTCCAGCCCTTCCCCATTCCCAGGGTCTGGCTGGATGAGGAAATTCCAGAAATCCACCCAAATTGTGGATGAGTGGCTTTGCCAAAGAAATATTTCTTTTTCCAGAAGTTTCTATCCCTAAAGGAAGAGCAGAACAGGAATTTACAATTTTTAGGAGAAAAGGGAAGGAAGCAGGGATAAGGCTGGAATTTCTCCCAAAAATCCAACTGGATCCACAGCGTGGGCAGAAGGGGAAGGGAATTCTGAAGGAATTCTGCCCCTTTGTTCCACTCAGGTGATCCCACATGGAGTCCAGCTCTGGGATCCCAATTTATTCCCATATCCAAAGGCAGGGAGAAGACTTTGGTTCAAATCCAAATTTGGATAATCCCAGAGCTCACCCTGACCCTGGAATGTCCAATTGTCCCCCTCAAGTCCCAGATCCCAGCCCAACATCCCCCTCCTGCTGGGAGAGGAGCTGCCAATTCCATGGAAACACCACCTGGAATAAGGCAGGGATGGGAGAGCACTGGAAAAATCGGGATCAGCCGCTTCAGGCAACCCGCTCTGATCCCAAAAACAACTCATTCCCTGTTTTTTTTCATTCCCAGGTCAAGCACAAGGACTCAGTGGTGCCCAAGGGCTGGAATTGTCACAGCTGATGAGCCAAGAGTGACTGGAAAAGCCAAGGGAATGACAGCCCAGCAGGGGCTCCTCCCAACACCTCGGGTTTTTCCAGGGAGTCAATCCACATTAAATTCTTTGGGAAAGGAATTTGGATAGCCAGGGCTCATCTCTCCTGCTGAGACCTGGGATACGCAGCCCAATTCCCACTCTGGATGTGGTCTGAGCCCTCCTGCTTGCCAACAATCCTGAGGATGCCTTTAGGGATTCCTAAAGCTGCCCACTCCCTCGAAATATCCCTTCAAAGCAAGGAAAAGGGAATGGGATGTGGTGGGCTCCAAGGACAGCTCCTGGGTATTCCCAGCAGGGATTGTCCCTCCCCTTTGCAGGAAGGTCCCTCTGGAATTCTCACACTGTGGGATGAGAGCAAGGGGACTCCCAAATTTGGAGTTTATTCTTGGAATCGTGGAGTGATTTTGGTTGGAAATGTGCTCAAACCGTTCCCAGCACTGCCACCGTGCCACATCCACACGGATCTGAAATCCCTCCGGGAATGGGGACTCCAGCCCTGCCCTGAGCAGCTCATTCCAATGCTCACAAGCCTTTCCATGAAGGAATTTTCCCAATATCCAACCTAAACCTCCCCAAAATCCTCTGAGGTTCCTCTCAGCAGCTCTGCTGCTTTCAGGGATTGAAAACACCAGGATGTGCTTGGAGCTGGGGAGGTTTTCCAGGAGCAGTTTCCACACCAGGAAGGAAAATCAGATCCATATTCCAAGTGAAGGGAGCTCCACCTGTGCCAGGCAGAGATGAACTCGATCCCAAAACCAGCAGAAGATCTCAGCATGGATCCCTTCTCCCTGATTTTTTTTTCTTTCTCCAAAATAAGCTGGAAGCACATCCCTTTCCTGCACTCCCAGATTTCCTGGGAGGTGAATCCATACCTGCTGTGTGCAGAGGAGTTCTCCCCGTGGTGCTCTCCGTGTTCCAGCAGTTTGGGAACACATCCAGCAGGAACCGGAGAACCTCGGGATGCCCTTCCCTGCTGGCAATGTGGAAGCAATTCCAGCCATCCTTATTCCTCAACAAGGGATTGGCTCCGTGCTCCACCAGAGTTTTGATCACTTCCAAGTTTTTCCTGGTGCAAGCCATCATCAGGGGAGTCCTGGAAGAAAATCCATGGGAATAAATTAACCTGGGATGAGAAATCCCCACCTAGATTCAGGTGCTTTGCCTGAGGATCCAGGAGGTTTTACAGCACTGGTTTTCCAGGTTGGGAATACTTGAGCTCCTTTTCCGTGCAGTCCCTCAGAGCATTCCGTGTTTTTAAGGCAAATGAGACTTTTTCCAAAGGTTTGGATATGCCTTAGGAAGTGCAGAGCTCCCTGGTTTTAATCCAGGCTCATGGAATCTCAATTCCCAGCTCTGGAATGCAGCCTTTGGATTTGTGGCTCCAAAGGAGCCTCCCAGGCTTTCATCTGGGAGCTGGGGAGAATCCTTGCTTCCTTTTTCCAGAGATCTCCATCCCTAAGGGAAGAGTGGAGCAGGAATTTACAATTTTTAGGAGAAAAGTGGGGGAAAGCAGGGATAGGGCTGGAATTTCTCCCAAAAATCCAACTGGATCCAAGCGTGGGCAGCAGGGGAAGGGAATTCTGCCCCTCTGCTCCACTCAGGTGATCCCACATGGAATCCAGCTCTGGGATCCCAACAGAAGGAGCTGGAGCTGATGGAGCAAATCCAGAGGAATCCACGGAGCTGATCCAGGGCTGGAGCCAGGCTGGGAGAGCTGGGAATGCTCCCCTGGAGAAGGGAAAGATTCAGGGAGAGCTTCCAGCACATTCCAGGGCCTGGAGGGGCTCCAGGAGAGCTGGAGACGGACTGGGGACAAGGCCTGGAGGGACAGGACACAGGGAATGGCTTCCACTGCCAGAGGGCAGGGATGGATGGGATCTGGGGAAGGAATTCCTGGCTGGGCTGGAATTCCCAGAGCAGCCCCTGGATCCCTGAATGTCCAAGGCCAGGCTTGGAGCAGCCTGGGATAGGAGAAGGTGTCCCAGGTGGCACTGGATGATCCTGAAGCACTTTCCCATCCATTCCACAATCCCAAACACCACCTCCAGCAGCCACATTCCCACCTTCCCCCATCCCAATCCCAAATCCCAGCACCTACCAGTCCCCCTTTTTCAAGCAGTCCACGCTGGCCCCTCTCTCCAGAAGGAAGGACACGCATTCCCGGTGTCCCATGGAAGCAGCCTCATGGATGGGTCTCTTGTAGTCCCCGTTGGCCACCTCCGGGTCCATCCCGATCTCCTGGATCAGGAATTCCAGCACATCCCGGTGCCCCGACCGAGCCGCGTGGTGCAGCAGGGAGTCTCCCAAACGTCCCCAGCGCCAGCTGAGAGCCTCTGGAATCTCATCCAGCCTCAGCTCATCCCGTAGGAGATCCAGGTTTCCCTCCTGGACCAGCCTCAGGAGGCGTCGCATCCTCTCCTGCTCCGCCATGGAGCCGGGCCTGAGGGGAAAAAGGCTAAAAAATCGGCATTTTACGGGATATCCTGCTTGGTTTGGGAGCTTGGGATAAGCAGGAATGAGGTTTTACCCCAGGAGAAGCAGACACTGGTGTTTGCATCCAGAAATGTGGGAATTTTTCCCTCATGAAATCCCAGGTTTCCCTCCTGGACCAGCCTCAGGAGACACCGTAGCCTCTCCCGCTCCACCATGGAGTCAGGCCTGAGGGGAAAAAGGCTAAAAAATTGGGATTTTACGGGATATCCTGCTTGATCTGAGGGGTTGGGATAAGAAGGAATGAGGTTTCCCCTCAGGAGAAGCAGACCCTGGTGTTTGCATCCAGAAATGTGGGAATTTTTCCCTCAGGAAATCCCAGGTTTCCCTCCTGGACCAGCCTCAGGAGACACCGCAGCCTCTCCTGCTCCGCCATAGAGTGAGGCCTGAAGGAAAAAAGGTCAAAAAATCATGATTTTGTGGGATATCCTGGTTGGTCTGAGGGGTGGGATAAGAAGGAATGAGGTTTCCCCTCAGAAAAAGCAGAGCCAGTTGTCTGCCTCCTGAAAAATGGGAATTTTTCCCTCAGGAAATTTTTCCCTCAGGAAATCCACAAACCACCCTCTCCCTCATGATGACCAGGAATTTCATTCTCCCTCAGTATAATGAAAAATTTCCCTTCAGAAAACCTGGGCCTGGCCTCTCCAAAAACCAGGATTTTTTGTCTCCCTCTGGAATTTGAGAAGCAGCAACACCTCAGAAAAAGCAGAAATTCCATTTTTCCTTGAGAACATTAGGATCTAGACTCTCCCTTCAGAAAATAGAATTTCCTTTTCTTTAGGATCTGATCTTTCCTTTAGGAAAAACAGAATTTCCCTTTTCCCTCAGGAAAACCAGAAGCTTCTTTTTCCATTGGGAAGCTCAGGAACCAAATGTTCCCTCTGGAAGAAATTCAGTTTTCCCTCTGGAAAACCAGAAATCAACGTTTCCCTCAGGAAAGTGGCCTCTCTTTTAGGCAAAAAGAAATTCCTTCTTTCCTTAGGAAAAACAGAAACCAGAGTCTCCCTTAGCAAATCCTGAAACTCCTTTTTTCCTCAGGAAAAAATGGACAATTTCTTCTTACTCAGGAAAACCAGGATCTTACCCCTTCCCCCAGAAAACCTGAAATTACTTCTTCCTTTAGGAAAACCAGGAACTTCCTTTTTCCTCAGAAAAACATGGAATTAGCCATTCCATCAGGAAAAACAGTTTTGCTTTTTCACATGGAAAACCAGGAATCGGTTTCTCCCTCAGGAAAAACAGGAATTTCTGTTTTCCTTCAGGAAAATTAGAAACCAACCTCTCCCTCTGGAGTAAAATTCCCATTCTCTCCGGGAAAGCTCAAAAATTCCTATTCCTCTTATGAAAGTCAGGAACCAGCTGGAAATCCATAAATTTTCCTTTTCACGCAGGAAAATCTGAAAATCCCTTTTAACTCTGGAAAATGAATTCTTTTCTTTCCCTGCGGAAAGTCAGACACCAATCCCTCCTCCAGGAAAAGCAGTAATTCCCTTTTCCCTCCCAAACGAACGGGATATTCCCTTTTCCCTCAGGAAAAACCCAGAAATTCCCTTTTACCTCAGGAAAAAACCAGAAATTTCCTTTTCCCTCAGGAAAAAATCAGAAACTCCCGTTTCCTTCGGGGCTTCTGGGATAGGGCCGTTCCCGCAGTCCGGGGATTCCCTTCCCCTTCCCCACCCCCACATTCCCTCCTCAGCTCATCCCAGACCTCAGAATTCCCGCGGGAAAATTCCCAGTTTTTCCAACCCACCCGCGCGCTGCGGAGACCTCGTGACGTCACGCGCGGAGAACATTACGTCATCACGAGGAGCGGTGTAAATAAACCCCGCCCAACCCGGATGTGCAACGCCATTGGACAGCGCCGGGCGCGGCTCCGGCCTCTGATTGGTCGGCGGGGAGGGGGCGGGACCAGCGGTGCTCGCGTGGCCTGGAGCGGTGGGAGCGGGTGAGTTGTGGTTGGGGCGGGGGG